CATATAAGCCAGGCCGAACTTCCAGGGAATTGAAAGGGAGTCTATGATCTCTGGTCTGTCTGCCCGGTTTAGAGATGCAAATCTTCTTGTTTGATCTTTAAGCCGTAAGGTCTATTTCTGGATAACCGGATTTCTTTGTGATTTGACTGAAGATCTGGGAAGAAAGGGACCAATCTGCTTGCTTTAAATGTTGACGACTTAGACCGTCTGCCAGTACGTTGAATTCATGATTCTGGAACACATATCTTCCAAACCAGTTGATCTTGTTCCTCCTTGTTTGTTTATATAAGCTACTGTTGTAGATTTGTCTGACCTGATCATGTTGATTCTGGATCTGAATCCGAAAAGCAACGAGAGCCAGCCTTCAGTTCTTTGTAGTTCGATGAACTTTTTAAATCTTTTACTTGCCAAACGCCTTGTTTCTTCTTTTCTCCCAAATGAGCACCCCAGCCACGACCTGAGGCGTCTGTTAAAACGTTGACCGACTTCATTTTGAACGAGAGGCCTGTTAGCAGGAAACGAGACAAGGTCCACCAGAGAAAACTCTTCAGCGCCTGACTGTTGAGTTTCATAGGTCTGTCCAAGCTGTACGTTTGCCTGTTCCAGCAGCTTAAAGTGTTTCTTTGAAGGGGTCTCATTCCGGCCTTTGCCCAATTGACTGCTGGGATAGAGGCTGTGAAAAGACCCAGCAAACTCATTGCTTCTCTGATGGAGCACCAACTTCTTTCTCTGAGGTTCTGAATAGCCAGAGCAATCTTCGTTCTTTTTTCTTCTGGAAGGAAGATCTTCATAGCGAGTGAGTCTTTAATCAGACCCAGGAACTGAATTCTTTGAACTGGGACCAATTCCGACTTTACGAAATGTATCAACCAACCATGATTTTTTAAAGTGTCTAAAGCCGTATTGAGGTCTAGATAAAGTTTTTCTTTGGAGTCTGCAATCAAAAGCCAGTCATCTAAATAAAGGATGACACTGACGCCTTTTCCTCTTACATCTGCTGAAATGACTACCAGAATCTTTGTGAACACTCTTGGGGCTGAAGACAGACCTTTTTCTTTCACAGGCGAGTGGACTGTAGAACATAAGAATTTTCTTTTTGGAATCTCTGATAGATCCAGATAGTAACCCTTCCTTATTACTGAAAGAACCCAGCGATCCAAGATAGTTTTCTGCCAGTAATCCAGGAAATTAGTGAGTTTTCCTCCAACAGGAAAGGCATCATAAATTTCTATTCCTTTTGTCAGAGAACTTATATTTTCTCCTGTAATCAAACACCATATTTGTTGACCCCTGTAAGTGTTCTTCCGAAAGGATCCCCTGTAAGCAGATTGGACTCTAAAAAATCTTTTATTCCAGTTCTGCTTCCTGTTATCTTCAGGTAAAGCCTTTTTACCATCCTTCATTTGTTTCAAAAGATCATCCAGTTTAGAACCAAAAAGTCTGCCTGGTTCAAATGGAAGGTCACACAGAATTTTTGGATGCTGAGTCAGCCGACCAGTTTCTTAACCAAATTGCTCTTCTTGCCACCATGGATAAACCCATTGTCTAAGCGGAGATCTTCAGACTTTCTGAAGAGGAATCAACTAGAAAGTCAGATGCCATCTTCATATTTTGCCACAACTTGACTGGATCTTCTTCGGATTCACCCACATAAATCTTTTCTAATTCTTCCAGCCAATGTTTCTGTGCCTTTGCCACTGAGGTACCTGCAATCGGTGCTTTGGATTGAGATGCTGAGGAAACAGTCTCTTTAAGGAAGAATCAATACGTTTCTCATGGCATCTTTTAAGCCACTTGAATTCCCTATAAGTAACGTGTTTTCTTTCCCAGCTGAGCTATAGGGACATCTACTGAAGGTAAAACATCCAGGAGACACTCGGGATCCTAACTGATGGCAAAGAGCGCTTTAAAGTGTTTAGAAATAAACTTTCTTCCTGGGAATTTCCATTCCCTTAGAATCAAATCCTTTAACGGTGGATGAAACGGAAAAACCTTGGATTTCTTTCCTTTGCTTCTGTAGTGTTCCTTATCATCCGTCAGGCACTGTACTTCCTTAACCAATTTTCCAATAGATTCCTCTGGAAAAGAAAATTCTTCCTCAGAAGAATATCTAGAATCCTCATTTCTTGATTCTGACATAGAAGCAGCAGAGCTTACGTCAGACAATTCCCAAGATCTAGGTCTTTTCTTAGACGGATTTAATACAGTAGAATCCTGGGAAGCAGAGGCCTGAGCAGACTGAATGGCTGCTGTCTGCATTTCAACAAATGTTGCCGGAACCAATTTAGGAAAGTAGACATTTCCGATTTCTTTGCTTTCTCAGAAGCCTCTTCAGTACAATTGGAACAGATTTTGCGCTTATATCCATCTGGCATGGGTTGGGAAGATGAAGCGCAGCTTAAATGCTTGGATTTCGTAGAACATTTCCATCGCTCTGAAGCTGTCTCCGCAGTCTCAGGATTAGACATACTGAAGAAAAAAAGAGAAAGAAAAGCTGAACAAAATCAAAACTCCATAATTCAGGCTAGACTCACTTAAGATAAAAGCAAAAAGTCTTACCTTAAATGGCTTCAAAGTGTGTTGGAGGGCAGGTGAGAACACTTGCAACAGATTCTGAGTGGACCTGGCAAACAGTTGCTGCTGGTTAAATAGCCTCTCTAAGTCCTGGAAACCAAAATGTAAAATTAAATAAATAAAGTACATTTTGGCGCCACAATTCCACGGTGGAACGCATCGCAACCTTACGTGCGTTCCACCGCCAGGACCTCCCAGCTAGTGCACGCAAGCGCCCATAGTCAGCCTGGCACCCGGCACGGTATAGACGGCAGTGAATAAAGAACAGGGGGATGAAGACGCCCGGTGTGCTTACCCCTGGAAGGACATCCAAAAAAGGAGCAGAGCCTCCAGAGACTCAGCCATCTCACCTTTCTCCTGGGGAAAAAACTGAGAGCCTCCTCTCCCGAGGCAGGCAAAGAACTGGGGCTGTTTGGGGTAAGTGGCAATTTATAGGACAAGATGTAATTGGGAAAGGTATTTAAAAAAAATTTGCGGATTGTCTGCCTGTTTTTTCCCTCCAGATTAGAAATCCCTGTTAAACACTGCCTCTAATCTACATTTATTCTACATTTTTATAGCAAATGGGAAGGGGTCTATTTAGAGTTGGAAAGTGGGACATGATGGCGTTCGGAATACAGGTTCTTTTAAGCGCTATTAGCCTCCGTGTTTTGCCATAAAATTCAATGGAGGCAGTTGCCCAGTGCATTTGCTTTGCAAAGACTTCTCATTAAGCAGCATTGGGAAGTCTGACTGGACAGCCAAAGAAAATCTGCTCTGCTAGCTGGATTAAAACCCATTACAAATATTTTGGATGGTGGGGGAGTTGTTAAAATAGGCAAACATTCTCAAAATCAGTTAGTAATGCTACTTTGGTCAAAAAGGTTACATTCACTTTAATGACTACACCTGTTAATCATTAATCTTGAATTAGTTTCCATGACTGATCAAAGCAACAGATGATTGCAAAATAGTTAGCAATGGTTAGGATAACTAGCCAGGACAGTCTGATCCAAAGGGCACAAAATTGCTGTCAGAAAAGAGGCATGGGAAAGACAGAAAACTTATTTCTGGAAGCACTTCCTCGATCTGAATGGACCTTTGGTCCGGTATCTGAAGCTGGACGTCCTCACTCTCTGCATCAGATTTTTCCCAATAGGAAAGAATTGATTCAATGCTTTCCTATGGGGAGGTTGTTGCAGGATGTTGGAGGAGGCGGAGTGCCAACCCAGTGCCGAGGGACATTAGCGCTGGGGTAAAGTAAATAAAGGTCTTTACCCATTTATATACCATGGTGGGGGGCACCAGGGAGGGTAGGTGAGTGATAGTGCCAGGAATACAACCTTGTACATTTTGAGAGATAGAGAATATATATATATATATATATATATATATATATATATAAACACGCAAAATGGCAGTGATTTTTTTTTCATCTAGATTTGCTTTACACAGTGACACCAGAGATAGGTCGGTTATATTATAGATTTCAATCTGTTGTCTTCTGGATACTAACTGCTGCCAATTTTCCCTCATAGTGGGCATTCCTTGCACCACAAATTCTGTATACTGTTGAGATCACTCACAATATTTCTTTACTCTGGATAATCTCCTTACCTTCTCACCCGGTGCTTCTGTTTAATATGATGAAGATTGCCACACCACTGTGTGCTAAAACAGTGTTATTGTGCCTAATCATGATGAATGTGAGATGGGAGCAGTAGTATCCACAGAAAAGTTTCCAGAAAAATTAAATGCTTTTTTGGGGGGTTATTACATTTTACAGAGAATATATGTTAAAAATATAAAACACAAACAATGAACTCAAAAGAAAATAAATATTTCAAACCCCCCAACATTACATCAGCCTTGCAATTTTGCCCACTTCAAGAAGTAACTTGGCCAATTAGATCCTCTCATTCTTGTCTACAGTCTGATCTGTTAGATATGTTGAACCCTGTACTGCGCATATATATATATATATATATATATATATATATGTGTGTGTGATATATATATATATATATACACACACACACACACACACACATACACACACACACATACAAAAACTGTAGTTTTGTGCTGCCAAATGATTGGTATTAGCCGATATGTGGACTACTAATAGCTCTATATGAAAAACATACAGTGCAAATGCTGACAGATGGTCTCATATTTAGCAAATCGGAGAAGAGAAGTCAATTACAGGCAGATGTCTTTCTGAGAACATGTTAAAATAGAAAGTGCTTGTTTGTTTCAGTTAACGCACAAATACTGAAACCAAAACTTAAAAGTGAAATGGTCTTACATGACTGCTTATTTAACTTTTATTGCCTTGCAAATGGTTTAAAAGAACACCATGGTAATTTTCCTCTTAAATACCCATAAGAACCTGCAAGCGTCCAATTAAATTGAAAAATTTGGAAAACATGAAATAAAAAGTACACCCTTAACATGTTTATTCCTCAAACTAAAGAGGCATAAAATGAACAAAGTGTTTTGAAGTGACATTATTAAAAATCTTTATTTTGTTTGGTCAGTACAGGCAAGGTAATATTGGAGTCACAGAGTCATATGCATTAAACAAGATACAGCAGTTTTCAAAACTGAGTAACTATTTGCACAAGTCTCAAACATTCAGCCATCTATTGAAGAAAAAATAAGAAGTATGTACAGATGTGTTGTCCAAGAGGGGGAAACTGCAATTAACACTGAAACTACCAAGGGACTTTTCTAAAAGTCCAACATTTTGTGATAAAACTACATTACTGGGTAAACTTTGGCAGCCAAACCTTCACAATACCATGACACGTTGTTGATTAGGTCAAAGGATGATGAAAAAGAGGGTAAGAATGCCCTTACACAGCAAAAAGTTTTATATATTAACAGTTGTACAGACATCATTAATATTAAGAGTTTTAGAAGTTTTGTCTTTCATTAACTTACATAAAAATAACTGAAGTCTAAACAAACGTCAATTTAAATTTCAAATTAACTTTTAAAATGTCCAAATTGGCAGAGGTATTACATTAAGCGACAAGAACAAAAACCCTCAGAAAGGCGAAATTTGTGACAAAATATGCACTATTTCTGGACAGTATGCTCTGAAATTAAACGGTGTATAAAAAAAACGTAAAGAAAAATTCTTCAAAATTAAGGGATTATTTTTTTTACAAAACAGAACCCTGTACATTTACACTGGAGTCCAAACCATTTTGAATGTGACGTGAGCTCACAGTTCTTTTTCCTTTTCCACTGACTGGTTTCTCTTCCTGAGAGTCATGGTTCGAGTCTGTATCATTTGAATTGTGAGTGAGAGAGTTCTCACTGCCAGTGGGAGAGTCTACACTTTCATACCCAATACTAAGCTGATTCAGGTAGCTGCTCCCGCTCCTACCAGTTCTCTCATCTGAATGATTTGAGAGCTTGCCCTCATTCACAGGAGATGTGGTAAAGTCTTCTTCGGTGCAGCTGCCCTCCCTATAAATCCCTCCAGAGGTGTGAGTTCTTTGATGGGAAGACCCACCATTACTTGGTCCATTTGGCAAGCGGTTGCAATCTTTGCCAGGAGTCTCTCCCTCTTCCTTGGGCTCTGATGAAGGCCTATTACCTGTGCTTTGGGACTGCTGCTGCTGAAACTGTGATAACTGCTGCCGGCACTCCTTCAGCTGCTGTTGCAGTACTAAAATAGTGCTCTGCATACCTTCCACTTCCTCATCAAGCTGAATAATAAAGTCATTTAGTTCTGAATGAGAGAGAGAAAAAAAAAAGACAAACCATTAAGATCACTAAGTGCATAAGAGAAAATGAGTTCCCTTTAATAAGGAAAAAGTTAAGTGCTCCTAAAGTGACACTATGCACACGTAACAAAATAGGGACACTTAATTTTGAATCAATATTTTGGTTTTCCTTTGAAAACATTTTCACCAATGATGGTTGCATTCATACGGTTATATAGAACTAGGGAAGTAAGAGAATTAGACAAACTAGGACATAAGAGTCACATATCCAAAAGATCCCACCCCAATACCCCATACTTTTGGGGACCTAGAATACAGACAACATGCAGTGCATTTCACCACTAACTCAAAGTCTAGAAAGAACAGGGCTCGACAAATCCCAGGTACCAGTTTGCTATGTCGAACAGGAATTTTGTCAAGGAGCCTAGGATTTGTCAGCCCGTTCATCAGTGAGGGAGAATAGAACCGGCCAGCTGAGGAACAGTGGAGGGGGCCTCTGAGAGCGGAGATCTTCCAGTTCTTCTTGCTCTGCTCCCTCATGCACCCTGCTGGGACGGCGGGATACGACGTCACTCCAGCCCTGGTATCAGAAACCGGTGCGCAAGAGTGCAGAGCAAGAAGAACTTTAAGATCTTCAGCTGCCACAGAGACAAAATATGTACTATTATCTGTATGTTTGCCTGTGTGTGTGTGTGTCTGTGTGTTTCTCTGTTTAGGTGACCAGCTTCCCTCTGATCACAAGGGATAGGTATGTAGACATGTCTGGTTCTACCTCCATGGCTGAGATCATCAAACTTGATCTCAGCCATGCCAATGATTTCCCACAGAAAAGCATTGGGAGGCCTTTACACATGTGCAACAAAATGTTGTTCTGCATCAATCAGCATCTCCTCAGATATGTATTAAAACAATGCATCTCTATAGGGAACATTGAGCGGCTCCATGCAGAACGTGGAGACAATGAACATAGGTGCTGCACTAAAAAGCAACTCTAATAGCCACCTGAGTGACTGTCACTAGAGGTGTTACTAGGCAACACGGTAAACTCTGCAGGTTCTCTGAAAGGGGAGTGTTTACATTGAAAAGCTTGCTGGGACAGTAGACACCAGAACCACTACATTAAGTTGTAGTGGTTCTGGTGACTATAGTGCTCCTTTATGAATTTTAATTTTGTCGTTGAAAATAATGCTTTGTTTAAATAAGAAACACAAACAAAACAAGCAAATTTGTCTGGGGGAAAGTGGGAGAGAGGGGGAGTGAGAGAGAGAGGGAAGGAAAGAAAAATGCACTTTAACTTATCACAGGACAAAACAATATTTCAATATTTTTTGCACTAGTATGTGCATGGTACATGTCTGCAGGGTGCGGGTGTTATATACAAATCCCCACCATACAGTGGTTCTTTCATAGCTTTCTGTGAAGGAGCCTTTGCTGAAGCTATTAATGAAAATTATGAATGGAGCTATGGTAATGCAGCTAGAACTACATTTTCTCAACTTGGAACGGCTACCTAGTATTTATCAAGGGTTTATTGAACATTCTCAGTATCACCATTGGCTCTACAGAGCTCACTGCAGAAAGATATAAATCCTGGGAAAGTGCAGCAAACATTTCCCCTTTTCTTTTACAAAAATTATAGTAAAACACTGATTTTTGAAAAGTAAAAGGAAAAAATAAATGTCCACTAATATGTTGAGAATACACGTTTAAACTGATTTATGCAAATACATTTTTGGTGACATCATAAAAGATCGAAACTGCATTTTACAGTGTACCAGAGCTAAGGACAGACTGATCTGTCTGGCTGATATTATCGGCCGATATTCAAGATTTTGGCAAATATCGGTCACCATGGATACCGACATTGAGGACCACTAAGGAGGGAGACACACTAAAGGACAAGGAGGGAGAGAGGGAAGGGGAGAGGACCACTAAGAGGAGTGGAGAGGTAGGTACACTAAGGGACAGGGATGGGGGGGAGGTGAGGGTAAAGGAACACTAAATATTATTGAAAACAAAAAAAATCTAAATGTCATGTATATTTTGTGCATTTACTACTTAATAAAAAAAAATATTTGCTAAAAAAAAAAAAAAGTAAAAATACACGTTCAGTAAACAGATTAATGTAGAAATGGTTTCTTTTTCAAAACAGTAAATGTACAGAATACCGGTAAGTTATCGGCTATCGGCCTAAAAGTTTACAGATTATCGGTATTGACTCTAAAAATCAATATAAGGCAATCCCTAACCAGAACAGTCAAAACAGGATTCTGAATAGGTTTACTTGTCAAGTGGCTTTATTATTTTTATTTTTCCCAATATGGAGATTACTTGGAGTTGCTCATGTCTAGTGCTCTCATACGTTGTACAGCCTTATGGACAAGATCTTGTATAAGTGGAGCTGCAATGTTTTTAATACTCAGCTTGGTCACTAATAAACAGAATAAAGGTAGGCTGTGATTGGAAAGTTCCTTGTATCATAATATAGCAACAGCATGAATGGTGACTGGAGAAAACAGAAAATAGCCAAAAAGAATACGGTACAAAGTAAACTCTGCATACACATTATTGTGGAGAATATGAAATAAACAGGCCAACAAGGGAATGATAAGTAGCACATGAGTCTGCAGGAACAGACCCGTTGTACACAATCTAAGGCCAAATGTAAACCTTATATATTTACAAAATGCACTGCTGTGTTTCCTCCTTCCATAATCTAATTACACCTTAGTAAATGATAAGATATTCTTTGCATCACACAAGTAAAACAAAAATATAATTGTATTAAGCTAAAATTAAGACAAAACTGCTCTAGCCATTTCAAAAGTAAACAAGAGAACTTCATGCTAAAGAGATTTGAGAAAAATAAAAATGCATGCCCAAAAACTAAGGAAATGAAAGAAAAATTATCTGTTCCATTTATTTAAAAAAATGTAAGCATGGGAAATCTATATAAATGAAAAGACAGCCCATAATGTATCATGGTACTTACCATCCTGACTGCTTTTGAGCTCCTCACTGTATTTCTTCTGTAAGGCCAACTCTGCCTCAAGCTGTGCAATGCGACCTTGGGATAGCTGCCTCCCCAGTTCCTGATTCTCCTGGATAAGCATTCGACACTTCGCCATTAACTTTTTGCCTGTTTGGCTGTAAAGGAAAGAGCCGCTGGTCAACAAAATGGAGAATAGATAACCCTGCATTTTCTTTGGCACCATTCTAAGAGGCACTTGGCAGGGACTCCAGCATTTAACTTACGATTCATCTTTTCTCAAAACAGTCACAGCAGCTTTACTGCCTACAGTTACCAAATATTTTTCCAGAGCCTGATGATCTTCTACTCTGGAAGGACTGACATCAATACATATTACAAGATAAGCTGGAAACCAATCCGAGTATCCAGCATGCAGAGACAAAAGTCCTACCACCAGCATCTTTGGAATGTGAAGTAGCAAGTTCAATTGTCAAGTGATAAATGCAGGCCCGAGGAAAAAGCACAATAGATGCAGGTAATTTGAGGTACACAAATGAAGCCAAATATTTTCAAACCACTTCCTCGCTTAGCTACACTCCCCAAAAATTAGTTTTCGCAGTACAACCATAAGACTGACTAGGACTGATAATTGATTTAAAAATAAATGATTAAGACAGACCGCCATTAAACAAACACACCTCACCTTTACACAACTAAAAACCAATCTTCTGCAGACATCCTCCTCCCCCAAAAGCATTAAAATTATTAAATGCAGTAACAGATGTTATCTTGATATAGTATATTTGCTCCAACATCTATGCAAATTTGGCATTATATAATCAATGAATGAGTTCATATATCCGACCTCACATTTGAAAATCTCTCAAAAAGTATTGTAATGCCATATATCCGGCAAATACAGATATATAGATTTATATGTAATTTATGCATTTTTTTTCTTCTATATTTTACCATCTCTCCCCCATTCCTCGTTCGATGGGTTACATTTTTGAGCACATACCAAAAATGTGCACTTGCATTATTGGTATGGGAAATTTTGGATTTTACATTATTTTCCTCCTTTAACCCCTTAAGAACCAAACTTCTGGAATAAAATGGAATCATGACATGTCACACGTCATGTGTCCTTAAGGGGTTAAATAACATTCCTGTAACACGCGAAACTAATAGAGCTATGAGATACAGCAAGGTGTGCTGCTTATGAAAAACTCCCTCTACCAATTTGCAATGTATATAATCCTGTTTACCTAATAACTGCTCAAAAACTTGGGACATCGGATGTCTGCTTACAGCTAATTAAAATACACATTTGTTCAAAGGTCAGTGAATTATTTTGTGTAGGCAATATCTGAAACTTTGCTTCAGTGAGTTTTCACTTAATTTAACTGATCATTGGAAGCAGAGTTCACAACAGCTGGAGTGCCAAGAGTTAGCCATCACCAATGTAACTTTTTGTGTTGCACATTCCTACGGTAAATAAGGTCTCATTCATAACCAATCCACAATAGAGAATATTCTAGACTTCAAAAAAACTATTTAGGGGACAAAACCAAAACACCAGAACTACAAATTGCAGTAAATGAACAAATTATATAAAATCTATAAAGTAGCATAGTTTGATAGAAAATCTGGAAACAGAACAGTAAATTATTAGTAGTTGTAATGAATCCAGAAACACCCTCAAGTATTGTGTGTACAAAACAATTTAACTTTGTTTTGAACTTTTGTATTTTACTTTGTTTTCATTGGTTTGGAAATACAGATTTAAGCAGTTTTTCCATTTGTGAGGGAGTGAAACAAAGACAGCAGACACTTTTTCCAAGTCAGCATTTACAAGTAGATTTACAAATTATACATAAACTCAAAGGTCACAATAATCTTAGGATTAAAAGTTCCCCAAAAGGCCAAGTAGGAGGAATTGCCTGAATGTCAAATGGTTTGTCCTCAATCCTTGATTGCATGGTAGCAGATACACTGAGAATCATGGGAGTTTTAGGTCAGAAACATCTGGAGGGCCGGAGTTTGGGGAACCCTGGCCTAAAATATGAAATTTCTTTCTTGATCACACTATTCTGAATATAGGAAATGGGTATGCAACAGTTCTGCACTTGCACAAATATCAAATGTGCTTCATGTTCAGTTTGCAATAAACATATTCATGGGAAAGTGCACATGTAGCATTACAGAGGAATTTGTGACCCTCCACAATTAAGTCTTATTGGAGAATCTTTGACCACAAAGGGGGTGGAAGCTACTAGTCATCATAAATTGCTTAAATTATGTCACCTTCTGTTGCTTATTTTGTATACCTAGACCAAAATGAAAAAGTGAAAAAAGCACTATAATATATATAGCCCATTTTGACTTCTCTGCATTATCAATAAACTGGTGGTAATTTATATTCACCACTTCAGTTGCATAGCTGCTAAAATATGTATCACTAATTATCTGAAGGCCATTTTCCCTTTGTGATTGAAGGACATTCAGTCTATATTATACCAGAGGTATAGTTATAAATCAAATACATACACAAATAAGCAGCAGCTTACATTTTTCTTCTTGATTGAGCTTACACCATACACTTTTTTGACAAAGATGCATTAGAATCTTTATTAAAGGAACACTCCAAGCACTATAACCACTACAGAGAGCTACAATGTTTATTGTGTCAGTACCCCCCTCCTCCCAATGTAAGTGATTAACTATTTTAAAAAACAGTTTCTGCCACAACTTCAGAGCTTCTGGCTCTATATCTGAGCTAAACCTCACAGGATGCTGGGCTTAGCTCTAGAGAGCCAATAGAAGCTCCTAGTAGAAGCTTCCAGATCTCTAAATGAAGTAATGGTGGGGGGTAGCAACGCCTAACAGACCCGATATAAGAAGTAAAATATTCTAAAACTGAGGGGTATGGTCATGGGAAAAAATAGCAATGCTTCCTGACCCAAAGTATTTACACACAGTGCAATGTATAGATAACTTGTTGGTGCCTTCTTATACGCTGTAGTTACTGTGCAGCAGATCAAAGAACCACCCGTAGAAGAGTTCTCTAGGTCTTCCAGTCACACAGTTGTTTGCAGAGAACCATCAGACAAGTGGGTGGCCAGATCTTGAAACTATTTATTCTTTTTTAAATCTATACATTTGATTAGCAATGTATAGATTGTTAATGCTCTTTCATCACAGAAAAGTAGCCCAGGTACAATTTAAAAATGGAATTCAGAGGCACATAGGCAAGCATACGCACGGTGATAATTTACAACTGTAGTATACAACTACTCATGCCTACTCTTACAAATAGGATGTGACATTGTATTAGGCCCTTAAAAAAAATAATTAAATAAGCCACTATAAAGCCTGTTACACTAAACAGGACATTTCATAAAAGCAGCTGTACCAGTAATTTTTCAAGCCTAGTTCATAAACTCTAATGTAAAAGCTCCAAGCAGATTGAAATGATGAAAGGTTTGCATCCAGAGTGGGCAAATACACAGAGACCCATCTGTTTTAAGGGTCATGGCCAGATATGCAGGAATATGATAATTTATAGACATGTATACTGTAGTTTAGTGATAATACTGGGAGTTCTAGAACAGTGTAGCTCTGTCATAAGTAAACACTATATATTCATAGCTCTAATAAAACACACCCATGTAGAAGAAAGATACTAAAGAGGGACACTTAGGAGGCAACACAGTGGGTTTCCACCACTTACAACCTACGGCACACCAAAAGCACTTTAACCATTAAACATTACAAACAATTATTGGGTTGAGCAGCTTCCTCTTACTGCACCCCACTGCCATCTAATAACCCCAAAACACTCAACTCACTATAATGTCAAGAAAAATGCATTTGCAAGTTCTTTCAAAACACATGGATAATATATTATCACATATTTAACACTATTTTATATGTGTTCTCCAAAATACACAGATCATAACGGTTATGAGCACAACAATTAGGATATAGCACATATTAAATAAAAGCAGAATATAGATGACATTTGACCACGCAATGTTATCTGTATTCTGTTTCCAATTAAAATCTTCTATACCCTAACTTTTGAGCTCTGATCTATTGCTTTTTATCTACTTTGACAAGTGTTTGGCCACCCTGAGAATTTCTCCAAAATACATGTGAAAATTATTGAAATTGTAAGTTTTCCAGATAAAATGCACTATTGACACCACATAACATTTACAAAAAATGCTAGCTTGTAATAACTTAAACACTAGTTTTAGCATGAATAAAAAAAAGATGTTCAAAATTAAATGGTACTTAGAAAAATTCCTGGACATGAACAGATTTATCTTGAATTAAAATGTGTGCATTTTGCAAGTCCTACAAATAGCACTGGAAAGATTTTGTTACCTTTTAGAATGTATACTACAGTAACTGCAAATGCACAAAACATTTAAAATGCTTTTATAGCTTTCTCCGCACCCTTCTCAATCCATGGCACTAATTGAAAATATCTTCTGTTGCATTTAACAGTTACATGGTGGTAATTTCCCTATAAAATAGGGAGGGAAAATAGTTTAAAATATCAACATTTCAAGTAATAACCATTTGCTTTTATATAGATCATATGCAATTTCACAAATAGAAAAAGTAATCTAAAATGAGCAAGTTAACCAGTTTACATCCTAATAGATATTCAAACCATATTGAGACCTGTTAAGTTCACAGCATTTATCACTTCACAAATGTTTGCTGAAAAACTACATATTTAAGGGTAGACCCAGACGCATGAACGGATTAGATTGGTTTGTAAAGAAAAAATTGTATGTTTAGTAGGCCATCAAAACGGAGATGAAAGTATACACTCAATCTATAATAAATTAAAACACGGAACCTACTTAAATTACTCAAACTATATTCCAACACCCCTGTAACTATTAAGCGGTTTTCAAATTATTAATCCTGGTGCAGTCAACGGGAAGCCTTTAAAAGGAGCACAAGGCACCAAAACAACTAAATCTAAATGAAGTTATTGTGCCAGGAGGCCCCTGGGCAAACTCGTACCATCAGGAGTTAAACCAAACTCCAAAGTCAGCTGCCGCTTTCAGCCAAACCAGAGGCGCACCTGACCGGTGGCACTCTGCACTTCCTAAGATGGAAATCTCAGAAGCTGTATGACACCAGGGAGGGAGGGTTTTGAGGATTGGTGCTAGAGGAAACTTTGGGGTTAAACATTTTTTACCCCTGAAGGTAAGATTGCATCCAGGTGTCTCCTGGCACCATAATAACTTCATCTAGATGACGTTGTTATGGTGCCGTATGCTGCATAAAGTGGTCACGAAATGACATAGCAAAAAATGTATTGTGGGTCTATAGATAACATTTATATAGGTCATTTTAAAATGAAAAGTTTAGAAACTTACATATAGTCCAGGCATGCATTCATAAACTGAAAACAAAGCAAGCCTCTCATTTTCAGCCACAAATTTATGATCAGAATATATGTAAAAATGTATAAGTAGCTACTGTTTTGCATGTGGTGCTAAATATTAAACAGCTTAATTCAACTGTATTGATTTCAACACCAAGTTTTCTTTCTTTATATTCAAATCATTTTGACCAAGATTAACCAGTACATTTTAAAGTTAGACTATTTTTCTCCTAAGCTAATTTAACTAACTGAATAAAAGACTGTCTTGTTGAGCCATTGTCAACTGGTTTCAGACTTGTGTAAAACTCAAAAACTAGGAAAAAATTATAAAATCTGATAAACTGCAACATACCTTACTATAGTAAAATAAATAAAATGTAAACATAACTACAGGAATATTTCTTTCAAGGAAATGCACTGAACCATCGAACCAACACATGATCAAATATCCAGAGAGGTTACTGGATTTTCCCCTACTGACTTAAGTAAAACAAAACCTTGAAGGATCAGTTGACAAACTATATATTATACCCATTAATCAAGTTATAGGCTTTTGTAGTCATTATTGGTACAGTGCCAAATTCTTCTCAGTAAATATAATGTATGCAATTGTAGGCCTGTCCATCCATGAAACGTATGTATAACAAGATTTGTTTTAGATAAAACACAAATTTAAACTTGGTACATTGCAGTAATTAAACAACCAGACATACAATCTGATATACTTACCAGACGATTGCACCTGTTGTCATCAAGGTGATAAAAGCAGTCAGACTAACCAATCCCTAAAAGATGCTTGCAGCATCATAATACCTGAATGCAATGCACCGCAATTAGCATGAGGAGGCAGCAAAAACAGACACGTACTCACTGTAAATTATGGGGTTGTCCAAGCACCATAACCACTACATGCAAATTTAGTTGTTATAGTGGCATTACGCTGTGGGCACCTGGTTCTTGGTCAAACATTTTGAGCTGAATGGCCAAACGTGTGGGCCAAGGTCCAGACCTTTGCTCAGCTATTGCCAATGTGGATGTTCAACTTCAACATTACCAAGAACAACCCTATTTTCAAAGCATTCGATGGCTGGGTGGGTGTATCGGGTTAGTTGCTTAGTCAGGCTTGAGAACATGGAAGGAATTGATACTGTCAATGCAGAAATTGACCTTCCACATTAGAAATAGTTTAGCAAAGGTCTGGGGTGCTGGTACACCAGATGTTGGACATGACAATGCAGAGATAAAAAGGTTCAATATGAAGTGATCATGTGTCAGTTTAGAGTTCTAGTGTTATGTATATAAACATATATACACATTTTACAAATTTCATGACAAATGAACACTATTAATGAAATAAAGTTGACATATACAAACTATTAAGCACTAGAATGAATACCATGCCCAAAATCCAAATAAAATAAAAGTGATGAATATTTCGTTCTATTAGACACCCCTAATCTTCTCAGAAGAAACTTGATAATTGTAAAAATGGGTCTGCACACTCTGGCTTTTCCTTACAAATTGTGGAAATAAATAAAAATTAAAAATGAATAACGTTCTCCTTTCCATCGCTTCAACAAATACAGATTGATGCTGCAGTTTTACCAAATGCCTTTTCGATATAGTTGTGCTGTGACAAAACATATTAATCACATAAAACGAACATTAAAAAAACCCACTTAAATAAAAGATCTAGGCAGTTGATACCATATCTCCTACGTCCTGATATAAAAACTGGACCATTCACTTGGAAAATGTTTTAACTTAGTTATTAAAAGCTAGCCTTGGAATAACAGACTAGTTGCAAAACCTCTTAGTGTCGAAAGATACGAGTGTCACACCTTCAGTGTATTTACACATAATTTTTGATGGAGGTCCATTGTGTTATCAAACATCAGAGAAGTATGCTTCAACCACACTAAGTACCAGCAGTATAGTATAAAATAGAAATATAATACTAGCTGGCTGTTCAGAAGCATGCACTACTACTCTGGTGTGATAGCTCACTGTTTCATGCCCATGACTATTGGACAGTAATCATTTTTAAGTAAAAATCACCTTTGCTCGAGTTTGGGCCCAGCAGTTCAGTAAACAATCATGAAGTCCAGAGTCTTAATTGGAAACACGGACTAAGTTTCTATAAGTCACTAGGCTCAATATTAAGAGCAAGGAACATTCCACTTTACATTTTTTATGGGAATATTACATGATCAATTCATGATTTTTGTTTTTAAGCAAAAGAAAAATAAAAATCACTAGGTTCTCTCCTCCATAAATGGGTGCCGACACATTGTGCCAGACTTAAGACTTCTTTTTCTCCCTGTATTTTCTTCAACCAGAACCATTTTTGCAAGTGTCTAGGTGTTCTAGAAATGGGACACTGCCGGATGTGGACACTTCTTCGGAATAGTCCGACGCTCTCAGGCCTTTGAAGCAAATGAGGGGAGGAAAATAAAAAGCTGAAATACAAGGTTCATCTGATAAGATTTACATTAAGCATTATAAGCTGGACAGTAAGAATGTGGCTTTTTTGGCTCACAAGAGTCTGAGTCTTGGTGTGCAAAACGAGTACTTGGCCATCCCACCATAGCATTCTCGCAGTGGGAGTGTCAGGGAAGTCTTGACTGGGGAGTATTTGGTTTGTTTACCTATCAGGCGTAAATTTCCAGGCACTCAGTTCATTTTGGGCTTGTTCCAGTTTGTCTTTAGTCTGTTCCAGTTCGCTTTTCATTTTGAGGAAAAACAAGTTGATAGCTGGGTCAACCATAGTCGTTCTCAGCTGGGCAACGCTTGGCTGCTGTACTTGCTTGAGGTGCTGAATCTGGTTCTGTGTAGATGAACCAAAGGCACAGTTACTAGTATGCCAGAAGAGCAGACAAAATGGCAACTGTCATTTTGCAGAGGCAGATAATTCAATCATATAGTCGTACAAGCATCTGAATGAAAATCTCTGGATAACAGAGTTAGTTTACAATTGCTAATTTTTTTATTTATTTTTTTATCTTTATGAAAATGGAAATCTATATAATGTGAAAAGAATTTGCCATGAAACATGGATTGTGCTACAAAGTGCAAGTAAGCATTCTAACATGTACACATTTTTATTTTATCAATACAAAAATAAAAAAAGTCATTCCCTGACCCCTATTTCAACCTGTATAAGTTTTCTCCGTTGCAATATTAAAAACAATATACCACATTATACACTTTCTTTTAACATTATACTTTTAATACAGAGCATTCACAGGTTTAGTAAATATCAGTATGCCAAGTACATGTTAACCATTCATTTTGAAATTATGCAAAAGGAGCAAGAGTGAAACTGATGCATACAAATGTTAAATGAACGCTATAATCACCAGCATAACTCAACCTAATTTGATTTGGCCTCAGACATGCTGTGGTTTTGTCACTGCACCATTCTATTAAGCTCTGGAAAAAAAATGTTTTGCAGCACAGTGCAGCATAAGTCATGTCCCACCCCATTTTCACACAGTTATTTACCAATGTGTCAGATGACCACTCTCAGCCAATGACGGTCATTCTGTGTAACACAAGTTGCAAAGAACTGACAATAGCCAGCCCGGAACTCCAGTAATACACCTATGAAGCTTCTGGAGATGGAATTACAGCACAGGCAGCAGAGGGGTTTATATCTCCAAAGTGAAATGCTACTCAAACAGACTCCAGGCACCATGACCACTTCAAATCACTTACCGTATATACTCTAGTATAAGCCGACCCACCTAATTTTACCACAAAAACCTGGGAATACTTATTGACTCGAGTATAAGCCTAGGGTGGGAAATGCAGCAGCTACTGGTAAATTTCTAAATAAAATTAAATCCCAATAAAATTACATTAATTGTTTATTTACAGTGTGTGTATATAATGAATGCAGAGTGTGCGTGTGTATATATAATGAATGCAGAGTGTGCGTGTGTATATATAATGAGTGCAGAGTGTGCGTGTGTATATATAATGAGTGCAGAGTGTGCGTGTGTATATATAATGAGTGCAGAGTGTGCGTGTGTATATATAATGAGTGCAGAGTGCGCGTGTGTATATATAATGAGTGCAGAGTGCGCGTGTGTATATATAATGAATGCAGAGTGTGCGTGTGTATATATAATGAGTGCAGAGTGTGCGTGTGTATATATAATGAGTGCAGAGTGCGCGTGTGTATATATAATGAGTGCAGAGTGCGCGTGTGTATATATATAATGAGTGCAGAGTGCGCGTGTGTATATATAATGAATGCAGAGTGTGCGTGTGTATATATAATGAATGCAGAGTGTGCGTGTGTATATATAATGAGTGCAGAGTGCGCGTGTGTATATATAATGAGTGCAGAGTGCGCGTGTGTATATATAATGAGTGCAGAGTGTGCGTGTGTATATATAATGAATGCAGAGTGTGCGTGTGTATATATAATGAGTGCAAGAGTGAGTGAGTGCGTGTGCGTGCAGAGTGAGTGCGTGTGCGTGCAGAGTGAGTGCGTGTGCGTGCAGAGTGAGTGTGCGTGCGTGCAGAGTGAGTGAGTGTGCGTGCAGAGTGAGTGTGTGTGCGTGCATGCAGAGTGAGTGTGTGCGTGCATGCAGAGTGAGTGAGTGAGTGTGTGTGCGTGCATGCAGAGTGAGTGAGTGAGTGTGTGTGCGTGCATGCAGAGTGAGTGAGTGTGTGTGCGCGTGCATGCAGAGTGAGTGAGTGTGTGTGCGCGTGCATGCAGAGTGAGTGAGTGTGTGTGCGCGTGCATGCAGAGTGAGTGTGTGTGCGCGTGCATGCAGAGTGAGTGAGTGAGTGTGTGTGCGTGCATGCAGAGTGAGTGTGTGCGCGCGCGTGCATGCAGAGTGAGTGAGCGCGCGCGCATGCAGAGTGAGTGAGTGTGTGTGCGCGTGCATGCAGAGTGAGTGTGTGTGTGTGCGCGTGCATGCAGAGTGAGTGAGTGTGTGTGCGCGTGCATGCAGAGTGAGTGAGTGTGTGTGCGCGTGCATGCAGAGTGAGGGTGTGCGCGTGCATGCAGAGTGAGTGAGTGTGTGTGCGCGTGCATGCAGAGTGAGGGTGTGCGCGTGCGTGAATGCAGGGTGTGCGCGTGCAGTGAATGTAAGTTGCCATAATACAGACCCTGACTTGAGTATAAACATAGGGGGGCTTTTTCAGCATATAAAAAAAAAAAAAAATATGTGCTGAAAAACTCTGCTTATACTCGAGTATATACGGTAAGTGATAATGGTGCTTGGAGTAACCCTTTAAGGCCAAAGCAGGCAAACTGGAAGAATAGCTAACTAGAGAATTTTTATAGTTCTGTTATTTAGGTCTGAAAGGGACACTATAGGAACTCAGACCACTTCAGATATTTGAAGTGGTCTGGGTGCAATGTCCCTGTCCCACTTAGTCCTGCAATGTAAAACAACCAGAATCTGAGACAGCCACTAGAGGAGCTTCCAGACGTTTACCAGATTTTAGGTTACCTAAGTGACGCTGGATGTCCAAACACTCTGCATGAGGACATCAAGCATGAGTGAAATCATTGCATTCAATGTAGGGCCTAATGCACTCACAGCGCTTACGCCTTTGGTTCCCCCAACAGGCGACATCTGGTGAGGAGCACCATGTGACATCGGCACTGAAAACAGTTGAGTAATTAAGGGGTTATTTAACTCTTTATGTAACAGATGACCAAAGGGCACTATGGTGTTAGGAACACAATTTTGTATTCCTAACACTATAGCATCCCTTTAAATTTGAAGATTACTACGAATAACCCTGTCTGTGTTTCTGACTGGCCTCTACTTCTCAGTAGGTAATGAGCCACTGAGGGCAAAGTGAGCTGAGCTGTTGGGAGGCAGAGGCTAAAGACTGGAGAAAGAGGGGAGACAGGAACATATACTTAGGTCTCTTTTACCAAGCATGGCTTTATGATTCCTATGACCAAGCTGCAGGGAATACAGATACCAGTATCTTACAGATCACATCTTCGCAAAGGATTCTGGAAAGACTGTCTATACTTTGCAAGTGTCTGCCAATCCTGGCATTTAGCATTCACTACTTATTCTTTTACTGGTGCGTATAAAAATAAAAACCAACATTCCAGTCTTACTCTGGGTAACAACATAATTTAAGTGCGTTTGATACATTTTAGCTTCTCATTCTTGCTGTGTTTTTCTTCACAATCATTTCTCATTTCCCAAAAGAAAATATTTTGGGGCTAATTTAAAAAGTGCCAATTGAAATCTGCTTTAATAAGAGAGGGTCCCTCTAAGTTATGTTGGTAACCAAAAGTTTTTTTTTTTTAATTCCAGAACTTTTACCACTATTCCTTGGTCAACCATGTCAAGTTGCTGGGAGAACGTAGTGCTAATATTCTGATTTTTTTTTGGGGGAAGATGCATTCTATTGGATGCTAAATGTTAAACCAGGGCATTTCTGTTTGCATACTGTGCGTTATTGGTTTGCAACATGGCAATAGTAGGCAACCTTCAACATGCCAGATGTTGTAAAACATGTCCCTGATGCTTTTACAGCATTATGGATGTAAGAGTATTATGGGTGATGTAGTCCAAAACATCTGGATTGCCAAAGGTTGCCTAACCCTGCCATAGAGAATTATTGCTTTACTGAACGCAGAACTGGTTGATATATGGAAAAATATTATCAAAAATGACAGATTGGCATCAAAGGTATGCTACTCTCAAAAATATAGGTAAAGTACGTATGTGTTTAGTACAGAGTTCCTGTAATGATAATAGGGAACATGATTTTAAAGTACTTTGTAGTTCGTGTTTGTGTACAAATGTTTAACCAACTCATACTTTTTTAAAACAAAAAAAAGTACTGATACTTAAAGGAACACTATAGTGTCAGGAATACAAACACTAGTTCTAAAATAACAATTTAGGCTCCAGCCCCTGGTCAAAAGGTGATTCTACCCACCTTTTTCCAGCACTGACCTTCATGACTGGCTCCACCCCCTTGGCTGAGATCAAACTTTATTATATCAGCCAAGCATTGGGAGGCTGCCTCTCTGCACCAATCAGCATCTACTCAGAGATGCATTAAATGAGGAACGTTCAGCGCTTCTGCAAATAACGATGGGCTGGCATTATTCTGACCACATAGCTGTTTCTGTCAAGCTGCTTTGGAAAGGTTTAACAAAAAAAAAAAAACCAAAAAAAAAAAAAAAAAAACCAGTGCTATGCAAGGAAACAAAGCCAGGACACTGTGCGACCACTCACACTATTGGCCAATCTTTGCGAGCATCCACGGGCTGCAAGTGCTAAAAACAGCTTAACATAAAAACAGGGGATGGCATCTAAAGAAAAAAACAATGAGTAGCAGTGGTTATATTGCTTAGAAAGCCCCTTAAAACTTAACACAATATAGTTGGAAGGGGACAAACTTTCACACGCATACATAGTTCCCATCCAACCTTGCTGATATTCTATATAGGCTTGGACAAATCATATCATTAGGAGCAAAAAGGCAAAAACACTTTTCCAAAGTACCTACACTCCATCTCGAGTTGGTGGAAAGATCTTGTATAATGAATGAATAAAAATTATAGCAAAGTAAATATTTTCAATAATTAGGTAAGCCCACTAGAGTCTAACTTTTCATACTTAAGAACATTATATTTACTAGCAGACAAAGTTATGGAGAATATGGAAACCTGGAAATTAATAGATCCCCCTCCCCCCCCCCAGTCTAGTAGCACTTTAAACACTGCCTACACAGGAAAAAAAAATGATCAGGGTGTGTGTTCTTTTGCAAATTTGATTAAAGACCCCTAAATTCACCAGGAGTCATTGTGGGCATTCTCCATCAAACACTTAGAGAACACCATTTCATCTTGACTGAACAACTAAAACACTGAAATGTAAATTGCTATGCTATTAAAAATCCTTTTTCAGATTGTCTGCGGAGTTTTTATCAGTAATTGTTCCTAATGGTCAAAAAATTGTGATTCAACCTGAACATGACTTTCTTCACTCTGGAGAGAGCTAAAAATATTGTGAGCGCCACAGAGAGTTTACTTTTGTGGAACCCAACACATGCCTGGAAACAAAACTGCACGACATGTGTTGCAAACCTTCCCCCCACCTCCCAAAAAAACATACCGTGCACTCCTGCATTTCTTGCTCCTTTGTAGCCAATCTCATTACTAATATATTCTCCCTTCGAGCAGACTCTTGCTGCTGCTGTTTCAGCTTTTCCTCAGACTCTCGCAGTCCAGTCACATCATTGGCTAAAGAAAAATAATGTTAATTAAGGTGAGTTTTCAATTTCATAAAGCTTTAGCCAGTTATACATATACATTTAGCTACAAACTCGCCTAGTCAAAGGATAGGTACAGAAAATGTATTACATTAATATTCGATAAACTAAGACATTTACTAAACATGGCTACTTCTTTATGGTAAAGCGCTGCGGATTTTGATGGCGCTATATAAATATAATAATAATAATAATAATAAAACCTTTTCCTAAACAGAAACCATCACTAATTATTCTGAAACCATCTATATACTTACAATTCAGGTCACTGTACTTGTTCTCCAAAGCTTGCACATAAGCTTCATACTGCTTCCACCTATAAAGAAGAAGAAGGAAAAAAAAATAAACACACCCCAAAAGTTTTTAGTTAATTCGTTAACAAAAAGGTGTTTTTCAAGATGGGCATTCATGACTATGGCCTTCCTGGCATTCAGGTGTGGTCACTCAACCAGAATTTTCGGTTTAGGTGTATATACATACAATTTTTTCACAAGTGAGTTTTGATAATTCAACCATTTCTTTACCATTTGCTTGTTATATTTTTTGTGTTTTTAAAAATCTTTGTTTTCATTAATTTCACAAGCCTCATGTGTCCCACTACAGTAAAGAACCCATATTTGAGATACGGATACTACCCTGAGGACATGACGCCTCACATGTTAACCATAGCCAGATTTTAGAATTCTAAACCAAATTCAGCCTAAAGCAAACTGAAACTCAGCAGCAACCCAATGCTAACCAGAAGGATACAATCAACGGATGTCACTGTTGACATCAGCATAAGGATTTATTCTGCTTACAAAGAATAGAACTCCTTGTACTTTGTGGTCCAAACATACACTTAAATTAATTTTGTAAATACCCCATGTAAATCTTATAATGTCAACAAAATTAAACTTTAATCTGCATTCTGTCATTTTCATAAAAGACAATTGAAAAAGAAAATAAAGAAAGGAGAGGGGGGGGGACCCAAGGACAACTTTTTATGTGTACAGTCAAGTTGACGGGCTGAGCTTAAAGCGGCAGAGTCACACCGATCTTACCTTTCTCCTATTGTTTCCTCTCTTAGAATCTGTTCTTTTCGAATCTAGTTTTCTTTAAAACATAAGACAAAGGAGTGTCTACTTTGTCTTATATATATTTTCCCACGTCTGACACAAGGAGGAGTTGAAGTCATTTCCATTTCCTGGGTCAGAGAAAGAACTAAGCCTACACCTTGACACATGAAATGGAGCCAACTTCAGCTCCTCCTTGTGTCAGAGAATGTTGTAGGCACCACTTTATCTTATGTTTTTAAGAGAAAAAGACCAGAAAAAAAAAAAGAAAAAGATTCTGAGAGGAAAAGAAGAGGAAACAATAGGATAAAGGTAAGTTCAGCGTGACAGTGCTGCTTCAAGAAAGGTTTACTCACAATCCATAAGTCAATCCGGCATAAGGGTAAAAATCAGGCATAATGGGCAAGAGAGAACAAAATGTCAGTTCGTGGATTTTAAGGGGAGGGAGAAAAATCAAGCGACATAGCGGAAGATATGAAACAGATAAAAATGACAGTGCCTCTTTAATGTGAAGTCATTGCACAATATTCTCTCTGATAAGCAGACTTCTCTGACAGCTTAGTGACCAATTTGTTAAAAGAAATAGACAATGGTCATTAAAGGCACATTATAGGGTCAGGAACACAAACGTGTATTTCTGACCCCAGTGTTAAAACCACCACCTAGCCCTCCTGGCCTGCCTAAATATAGTAAAATCTTACTTCTATTCAAGTCTGCAGCTGCTGGCTCTGCCCCTGATATGCCTGCTTGGCTGACAAAATCATAAGAGACTCTCTGAGCCAATCACAATGCTTTCCCGTAGGATTGGCTGAAACTGTCAAGGAGACAGATCAGAGGCAGAGCCAGCACAAGTCAAACACAGCCCTGGCAAATCAGCATCTTCTTATAGAGATATACTGAATCAATGAATCTCTATGAGGAAAGTTCAGTGTGTTCACGCAGAGAGTGCAGCACTGCCCCAGATAGCAACTCTAGCAGACATGTGACAAATGGCCAGTGGAGGTATCACTAGGCTGCAATATAAACACTGCATTTTTTCTGAAAAGGCAGTGTTTACTGCAAAGAGCCAGAAGGGAATGATTCTACAATAAGCTGTAGTAGTTCTGGTGGCTATAGTGTCCCTTTAAAACACATATTGCAAAACACTGTGATTAGATTAGTTTTCCCAGTGTCAAGGTGAGTCAAAGTCTGTAGCAGTCACAAGGGTAAAAAAACAAAAAACAAACTATTGTAATAGAATACCAACTCCACTAGTGAATCCTTTTATATTTATATTGCTCCAATGGATTTTAAGGAGAGCCTCTAGTCCCCTAACTATTGCAGTTCACTGTAGTGGTTATAGTGCAAACAATCGATAGGTGCAGTCTCCTTGGTTATCTTGAAATCATTTCAGGAGTTTAAATAACATGGTGACTCTCCCTGTGACAAAAACCTGGCCATTTTGCAGCAGCTGGGTAAGAAATTCTGCATTACCTGTTAAATGTGGAAACTAAATGTACATATTAGCTGACCAGCAGTAGATGGGTAGTTATTTTAGGTGGTGAGAAAGCCCTGGTTTTTAATCAAAGCATTCAAATGGCTTAACACTAACTAGGGATATAGCTACTGCAGAGTCTTAGGGTCATAACTACAAGATTGATCTCTAGGATATATATCCTTGACAGTCTTAGCCAATCCTATGGGAAAGCATTGTGATTGGCTCAGACCACCACTTCTGATGAATGAGAGAGGGGGAGACGGGGAGAGGAAAAATTAAGTGGACAGTCGCAGGTGCCACTTCACCGGCTCATAACTTAGCCAATGGCTGTCCTGAATGCTCTGGCTGGAGTCTAGTGGACCCCAGGTAAGTTGTCAGAACCATGCATAAATTGTTTTACCTGGGAAGCAGCCAGGGTACTGTAACCACTACAGCACGTTGTAGTTGTAATAGTCCTTGGAGTGTTTGTTTCATTAAATTTACAAACTGTGAAAATAATATATTTTTTAAAAATGAGTTGCTCCTCATGGGAAAGCATTGCTTTAATGCTTTCCTTTGGAGATTTAACCGACACTGGATGTCCTTATGCAGAGTGTGAGGACGTCACAGCGTTAGTGATGCAGGCAAGTCGCCTAGCCACAAGGAAGTGCCTCTTCTGGCTGTCTCATTGACACTTTAGGCAGTCTTAGTCCTGAAAGGTAACCACTACTAAGGGAACAGGGACACTGCAGTGGTCTGAGTGCCTACAGTGCACCCTTTAAATTTTAAAGATCCCTTTCATTTATTAGCTATAAATAAATGTTAAATAGGAATAAGGTTGCATAGGTCTCCTCCCCCCTACCACCCCCCCATAAAAACCCCAACAAAACACAGGACTTGCACAGCCTTGGTGAATGTGTACTGCAGTAAAAAAAAAAAAAAACTGTATGAAACTTCAAACTTATGAGAAAGTTCTATGCTAGTGAAGATGTAAGTCTGAGGTTTGTATAGTTCAAATGATACTTTACTGTACCATCCAGAGTGTTTTCTGTCATAAATATGTATTTAGGGACATTATAGTCACCCGAACAACTACAGCTTATTGCATTTGTTCTGGTGAGTAGAATCATTCCCTTCAGGCTTTTTGCTGTAAACACTGTCTTATCAGAGAAAAACCACAGTGTTTACATTACAGCCTAGTGATAACTCCACAGGCCACTCCTCGGGTGGCTGCTAGAGGTGCTTCCTTGGGCAGAGTAAGGATCACTGCCATTCAGGGTCTCCACCCTCTGCATGCAGGTACTGAACTTTCCACATTGCTTGCATTGATTAAATTCATCTCTAGGAGTAGATGCTGATTGGCCAGGGCTGTGTTTGACTTGTGCTGGCTCTGCCTCTGATCTGCATCCTTGACAGTCTTAGCCAATCCTATGGGAAAGCATTGTGATTGGCTCAGACCACCACTTCTGATGTCAGCAGACACGGCAGAACCAGGAGCTGCAGACTTGAATAGAAATAAGATTTTCCATATTTATGGAGGCAAGAGGGGACCAGATGGTGGTTTTAACACAATAGGGTCAGGAATACATGTTTGTGTTCCTGATCCTATAATGCTCCTTTAATATACAGTGTGAGAGATTCTAAAAACTAGCAGTCTCTCTCAGTGAGCATTGCCAGGATAACTATACTAAACACTTTCTGGTTGCTGCTCCACTTTAAAAAGGGAAGTTTCATCAGTACGTAAAACATGGACTATTGTTTATAACTTGTTTTAACAATTGTTCATGTTTGTCTTATTTTAAAATGTTTATTAAAGATTTAGAAAAAAATAAAAATGGTGACAATCCAGGTCGTCCTGGCACAGCTGAAACATACAATGCGCACAACGATAAAAGGAATCATTTTCATTCTCTTTATGTCAACTACCAGAGCTTATAATAAGCATTGGCAGGGAGCAGAAAAAGAGGTGTCCATCTACACGGTAAAGTAGGATGGGTTAATATATTTAATTTTCTTTTTTAGACCACGTAAATACATACTTAAAATTTAGGCTTGTTTTGGTTACCCTTTAATAAAGCCAAATATAAGTATGACAACCAATAAGAGGGAGGTATAAAGAGTATAAAACTACTTTATCTGAATAGTGTTGGATAAGTCAGAAACAGTTAAGTCTAGGAATCATGTTTACAAAATATAAGTGCAATAAACATTAAAGCACTTTTATGCATTAAGCTAAGTATCAGACAGTGGAAATTAACATTGCCTTCAATGAAAATGTTTTAAATAAAACCGTGTCATTTGGAGTAATCTAACATGCACAACACAAAAAAAATTCAGAGATCGTGAGCAGCATACCACTAAATTAATGTTTTCTATTTTACTGTCCAAACCATATAACTAAATGTAAAGACTTATGAACTCTGCAATCAAAGTTCTAAAATCCCTTTAAGAATCTCAAACATCCGTTATCTTAACTGTTGATCACAGGTGGCAGTATTCTTTTTGTCTTGTCTTTTCCACATGTACACCAAGTATGATCACTGTATGGTGACACATTGAGCTTCCTTCTCCAGGCAAATTGATTTTTAGATCTAGCAAGGTGTCAATGTATATAGATACTTTACCTCAAAAAAAGTTCATCCCTGGTTAAAACTTTAAAGTCTGCATCACTGAGCCGGACCTAAATAAAAACAAACCACAAGTTTCAGCTTAACCCCCGACTGAGTCAAATGTACACGTTGTGTACAAAACAAAACGTAAACAAAACCTGGCATTTGCGCTACGTCTGTCCCACCGTAATTCACCTCTTTCATATTAAATGCACCCACACTTATTATATATCATTTTATTCAGGGGAAACAGAGCTTTCATTTAGTATCAAATATTTAGGTATGAAACAATTTAATATGAAAAAAAATTGAGAAAATAAATTTTAGTTTAGTTCTACATGACATTTTAACTGTCAATGTCATAATACTGTTTGCTTTTACTGCAATAAAATACACATTTGTATTCAGCAAAGTCTCACGTGTAAAACAGTTACCCCTATGTACAGGTTTTATGGTGTTTTGGGAAGTTACAGGGTCAAATATAGCACATTACGTTACATTTGAAATTCGCCAGATTGGTTACGTTGCCTTTGAGACTGTATAGTAGCCCAGGAATGAAATTTACACCCATAATGGCATACCATTTGTAATAGTAGACAACCCAAGGTATTGCAAATGGGGTATATGACCAGTCTTTTTTAGTAGCCATTTGGTCACAAACACTGGCCAAAGTTATTGTTAATATTTGTTTGTGCGTGAAAAATGCAAAAAACGCCAATTTTGGCCAGTGTTTGTGACTAAGTGGCTACTAAAAAAGACTGGACATACCACATTTGCAATACCTTGGGTTGTCTACTATTGCAAATGGTATACCATCATAGGGGTAATTTTCATTCTTGGGCTTCCATAGGGTCTCAAAGGCAACGTAACCAATCTGGCGAATTTCAATGTGAAAAAACAGAAACAAGCCTTATATTTGACGCTGTAACTTTTGAAAACACCATAAACCCTGTACAAGAGGGGTACTGTTGTACTCTGGAGACTTTGCTGAACACAAATATTTGTGTTTCAAAACAGTAAAAAGTATCACAGCAATAATATTGTCCGTGTAAGTGCTGTTTGTGTGTGAAAAATGCAAAAAAAAAATTCACTTTTATTGGCTATATCATCGTTGTAATACATTTTACTGTTTTGAAACACTAATATTTGTGTTCAGCGAAGTCTCCCGAGTAAAACAAAAAAATTAAAGTTAAAATAAGTGTTAAAAAAAAAAAAAAAAAAATATATATATATATATATATATATATATATATATATATATATATATATATATATATATATATATATTTTTTTAACACTTATTTTAACTTTAATTTTTTTGATTTTCAGCCAGCAGGGGGACTGTCATTACAGGCAGTCCCCCTGCTGGCAATGCAGCAGCCAGCTAACCCGGCCATGTGACTGTGAGGTCCTCGCAGGTGAGTCTCCCCAACCGCGATCGCCGGTGTGGAATCGCAGGCGACCGGTTAAGTAAAAAAAAAAACAGAGGACGTACTATTACGCCCTGCGGCGTTTAGTACGTCCTCCGGTTTTAAGGGGTTAATAGTAATAGTACGTCCTCCGGTTTTAAGGGGTTAAATTCCTTTGTGACATAGGACATTCCAAGCTAACATCTAAACTGCCCTTAATAATTAAGAGGTGTATCCCAATGCTTGTGTGTGTCTGTTTTGGTGCTTATAGTGTTCCTTCAACTTTGGCACAAATCACAGGCAAGTAAATAAAAGCAACCTCTTAAACCATAAACAAAAACGGTTTAAGGAAAAACCCTGCAGTTCTGAAATTAGCTTATAGCAAGGAAATATGGCTGCATGGTAATATCTGTTAAGGGTAAAAACAAAAAAACAAAAAAATATAACACTAAACATTGAGTTCAACCTTTCAATATACATATGACAAACAGAAAGGACAAAAAAATAAAAATAAAAACCCAAGGAATATCCAAATGAATAATAATGATGCATTTGAAATGAAAACTATTACACAAAAAAAAAAAAAACAAACAACAATACCCACAAACTATTTTTACTAACCTTCTTCGGAAGAGGTTCCTCATTTGTCATTGTGACCTAAAAGACAATCATCAAGAAGAAAGAGTCAAAGACTTAGATGTGTCATCACTGTTAAGTCTAATAAGACAAATTGAATGCTAACATGTATCACAAATATAGATATGGAGTGTTGACAAGGAGGTTGCAAAAAGGTATTCTACATGTCTTTATGGCAATTTTAAAGCACATTTTGTTTAGAAATACTGCAGCGAAAAAAAAAAAAAAGATTTTTGAATGAGGACATTTAAAATATGAAAAAAAAAACAAAAACCAACACATTCACAAATGAAATCCTTAGTTTACTAGTTCACATCTAAAACAAACATAACACAAGGATAAGCATTGCGGATATAGGTATATGCATAGGATATAGAAGCATTGCGGATATAGCTACATGCATAAATATAGCCTCCATATGCCAATACACTGCTTATAAAAGAGTAATACTGCAAGCACACTCAGAATCTGCATACTTTGCATGCTCATGTCAGATGTTAAATAGCAGGTATTGCAAAAAGAACAGTGCCATTTCTCAAAATTTTTTAGAGATATTAGATCTATACACACAAAAAGCTTTCAGTGAAATCCACATTTAAGGGACTTTAAGTGACACTCCAGGCACCAAAACAACTTAATCTAAATAAAGTTGTTTTGGTGTCCTGAGGCCTCCGGCACTCTTACCTCATGGGATTAAACTGTTTAACCCCAAGATGTCCACTCCTATCCGGCGGCATCCGGCTTCTGAATTTTCAGAATTAGGAAGCATGGAATGCAGCCGGACAGGAATGCCGCTGATTGGTTCGAGAAAGGTTTAACCCCTTGAAGTAAGTGTCTTCTGGCACCATAACAACTAGGGATGCACGGAAATTTAGGCTGTTGAAAATGGACAAATCCCGTTTTGTGGTGAAAACGGGTCAAATTAGCCACACAAAAAAATGAAACAAAACAAACCAAAAAAAGTTTAACAGACATGCTATTTTCCTTTATCCATGTGGGATTCTTTGACCAATAGATTGTTGGTACATTAGCTTAGCACTTAGTGTCTGGAGTGCCCTTGCAAAATATTTTTAATGCTTAAGAGTACCCAACGCCTTGGCGCTTCATGGACTAATGAAAAAGTATTAGCCTAAGCAGGAATGGGCAGAAATCACTGGTTGAGTGTCAGCCAACCACATTCTGCCAATGGAAGTATGAATCGGTTTGGCTATAAGGAAGTGTGTAATCTCTGCCTTAGCCATTCCTCCAATGGTTGTGGGAAGCCAGGGACCATAATTCAGTAATAAAGAAACACTATAGCATAAAGAATATAAACATGCATTCCTAACACTATATTGCTTGAGTGGCTGCTTAGTTGTCCGGCACCCCTCAGATTGAGAAAATTTAAGTTACCTATCTTTTTACTGCAATCACCGCCTCAGTGGCTGACACTGTCAATCTTAATGATATCAAAACACTGGATTTTGTCTGAAAAGACTGAGTTTACCTTAAAAAGCCTGCAGGGAAAGGCTATAGACACAAGAACCACTACGTTAAGCTGTAGAACAGGGGTTCTCAACCTTGCCCTCAAGGACCCCCTACCAGTCCAGGGTTTAGGGATTACCTGGGTGTGTCTAAGGGTTTTTTTTCTTCCCTTTTTCTAAACACCTTAGACACACCCAGGTAATCCCCAAATCCTGGACTGGTAGGGGATCCTGAGGACTGGGTTGAGAACCCCTGCTGTAGAAGATCTAGTGACTGTAGTGTCCCTTTAAAAGGCTAAGGTCACCCAGACCACTTAATTTAATTTTGGAGAAACTGAAAGGTTTACATTGCAGGTTACACACCTCTAGTAGCTGTCTGAAAGCCACTAGAGATGCTTCCTTTTAATCTATAACAAAAAAAATAAGGTCAGATTCAAATAAAAGGAAACAGTGACAAGAAAATAATTTGAAAACAAGACCTGAGAAGTGAGTGCCATTTTAAAATTATTACATTTAAAAGAACTTTGGTAACCAAATATAATTTATCCAACACTAAGGAATATTAAAACAAAACAGAAAAGTTTGTAGGTTTATCTATAGATTACTTTAAAAGAAATACAAATAGAAAATCAGTAATGTCTCAAGGGATAAGCTTGTTTTTCTGAATCAAATTGGTCCTGAGAGGGTTGTGCCTTTGCACACCAGATGCAGGCTCTAATTAAAAACCTACAATCTAAAGTGATTTCTGTTGATTAGATAATCAAGAAGAGCAGGACACCTATGCATTACAGATGAGCTACATTTAAGAAGGCAATAATTGCAAAGAGAAAAAGAAGAGATGTGTCAGGTGCTCACTCCAAAGAATAAACAATAAGATAGGCAGCAGTAACAAATACAAGGATTCCCAGCCTTGTTAGAACAGTAGTATAGGAGAAAAGGGAGGAAACCGCGCCTTACATAAATTATATATACATACACTTGATGTCTCTTAGTAGTTTCGGATAATTTATCCTCAAAAAGAAAACAGAAAGAGTATATACAATAGTGTAGTATGTTAAATAATATTAGGAAAAAGTGATAAATAAAACGGAGGTATTTTTCACTCACATTTGGTAGAGCTACTGTGGGAGCTCTACCATAATTGGCGTGGATGGTACAATCCCCGTCTTAGGATCAGAAGTCCAACGTCTTAGGTACTCCAATTGTGTAGTAATGCAGATAAAAATGGAAAACAAGAAACTCCAATAGTGTAATAGTTCCAACTCCAAATATAAATGGATAAATAGAAATATATATACTCACATTTACTAGAGCAGAAAACTTGCTCTAGTTTATAAGGCTTGCAGTGGTATAATCCCCACTGTAGGATATACAGGCCAGGAAGTAAGATGGTGCAAATAAAATATAATAAAATGGAATATAGCTTTAAAAGATATATATTTAATAATGTATCAAACAGAATAAAATAAAAGCTATATAAAATTTTTATATAGCTTTTATTTTATTCTGTTTGATACATTATTAAATATATATCTTTTAAAGCTATATTCCATTTTATTATATTTTATTTGCACCATCTTACTTCCTGGCCTGTATATCCTACAGTGGGGATACCACTGCAAGCCTTATAAACTAGAGCAAGTTTTCTGCTCTAGTAAATGTGAGTATATATATATATTTCTATTTATCCATTTATACTTGGAGTTGGAACTATTACACTATTGGAGTTTCTTGTTTTCCATTTTTATCTGCACTACTACACCATTGGAGTACCTAAGACGTTGGACTTCTTATCCTAAGACGGGGATTGTACCGTCCATGCCAATTATGGTAGAGCTCCCACAGTAGCTCTACCAAATGTGAGTGAAAAATACCTCCGTTTTATTTATCACTTTTTCCTAATATTATTTAACATACTACACTATTGTATATACTCTCTGTTTTCTTTTTGAGGATAAATTATCCGAAACTACTAAGAGACATCAAGTGTATGTATATATAATTTATGTAAGGCGCGGTTTCCTCCCTTTTCTCCTATAATAATTGCAAAGAGCTGTAATGTTAACTAAAGCTTATTGTCGGATATTTATTACAACCCAAATATGTTTAATAAGTGTAAGATTGTCCTCTTGTTTTCAATAAAAATGCTAACAGTTATTTGCATATGTTAACTAGAACTTAAAGAAACACTAGAGACACAAAGCACTCCAGCTTGCTGAAATGCAGTGTGTGTCTGGAATCTGTCTTTTTTTCAAGTTGATAAAAGTGCCGATTTCAATAGATAGTGACACTTAAAACCATGTGCAGAAATGCCTCCTGGATGTTACTCATAGAAATGCTCCACTGATACAGGGGATGGCTTGCATAGGCCATCAGCTGGTGTAAGGTATTTTTTTTCACACCACCACAGAGAAAACAGGCAGAAAAAATATGCATATTTTGTTTGAGGTACATCTACTAAACAGTAATAAAACAAACCAATAGAGCATGCCTGTAATAAGGACCAGGCATTTTTAAGTGACAAATGTACAAACCTGCAATTTAAAATGAGAAAAGAAAAAACTTTTCACAACTGCTAAATGTAGCTCAACCGTACACCCTTCCGAAAAAAAACAATATTACCCACATATGACAAGAAACAACTGTTTTGTTGACTTTAAGCTGTTCAGCAATTCAAGATATTTTATTAGATTTGCACTTACATTTTCTGTCTTGTGCTGAGGAGGGATTTCATCAGGCCTCCTCTTCCTAAATGGCTGTTCATTTTCCATCTTTTTAACTCTTTGTAACATGTTTTAGAACTAGTACAGAAAACAGGAAATATGAAGGAGGTTAGAGTAGTATTGATAACACAAAATATTCAATTATATTTTAAAAACTGCTGAACAGCTTAAGAGAACTAATGGAATACGGAGAAGCATTGTTTCCATGTAACAGAGTATCTAGTGCTGTGATGGTGAATGTTTGGTACTGAAGGTATCTACCTTGAAAATAATTAACTGATAATACAAACGCAGATACAGAAAGACTTTAAAAATATACAAACAAACAAAAACAAGCCATTCCAGTGATCATAATCTGGGCCAGACTTCTAAAAGTACTTTTTTTTTTGGGGGGGGGGAGAGGTATATGTTGTTTCTTTTGTGCGTATTTTGCGTAAATCAAACAGTCTCGCCATGTATATAACTTTTATACAGCAAGAACATAATCAACAATAAGTCCATAGGAGAGTCTTATGATGGGTAGGCTTATTGGCTCACAGGCACAGATAATTGTGGGACTCGCAGGTCCTTGTCCATTTCCATAAACATACGTAAGGGTAACACCCACCCCCCCCACTGTACGAATTATACAAATTTACTTCCGCTATGAGAATATTAATATTCCTACCTAAAGTTGAACTGGTGTGCAACAGAATGTATAAAAAGAATATGAAATTATCAAAAAAAGTATTAAAGGCATTTTTAATTGAATGAATTTGCCTTTTCACTTTCAATGCAGAACCATTTAAAGATTTGCGATGGTACCACAACCTAAATGGTCAAACATCCCTTTCTCTGAAACATGCAGACCTTCCTGAGCTAGGTCCTGCAGTGCAGACCCAATTCATTGGTTGAGATCATGAGCTAAATGCTCACAGGCAATGAGCTAAACCCTGCTGGTGGTGATCAGGGCCTGGTAGACCCCAGTTAAGTTGCCAAACCGGTCAAACACTCACTACTTAATATGGAGACAGGGCTCAAAATGTCCACTCGCAACTACCTAATGGCAAGCATAAATTTAGCCCTGGTGAAGAGAAATTTACCACTAGCAAGCATACTATGATTTGCAGTGGGGTGCAACTTTTAACACCTAGCTGTAGCATTGCACTTTTTTCATCTTTGCTGGGAGATCCCCATTGGTTATGGTGCTCCTTTACATAAACTCCTTTCATATATGACCAAGAATTAAAACTTTGATTAAAGGGTTTGTTCAAGCACCATGACCACTCTAGCATTTGAAGTGGTCATGGTGCTTAGATCCATATGTGCTGTGTTTTCAGTTTGAAACACTGCACATACAGAGGTATTTTATAATGCTGTCAGATGTGTAACCTCCTATGGCAGCGTTACTGACCATCATTAAAGGGTCTCTATAACTACCCAGACTTCTTCACTTCAATGAAGTGGTCTGGGTGCCATGCCTCTGTTTAACCCTGGATATGAGAACACTGACATTTTGCAGCTACAGCAATGTTTTAATTAAAGGTTAAAGAAGCACTATAGTGCCAGGAAAACATACTCGTTTTCCTGGCATTTGATTATAGTGCCCCGACCCTCAGGGTCCCCCTGCCGCCGGGCTGGATGGCGAGGAAAGGGTTTTTTTCCCAGCGCCGGGCGGGGAGCTCTCTTTCTCCTCTCCGGCTGAATGCTTTCCTATGGACGCTTGCGTCTTCTCACTGTGATTTTCACAGTGAGAAGCACGCAAGCGCCTCTAGCGGCTGTCAATGAGACAGCCACTAGAGGCTTTGGAGGCTGGATTAACCCATTTATAAACATATCAGTTTCTCTGAAACTGCTATGTTTATAAAAAAAAAGGGGTTAATCCTAGAGGGACCTGGCACCCAGACCACTTCATTAAGCTGAAGTGGTCTGGGTGCCTAGAGTGGTCCTTTAATATACCTCTAGTGTCAGGAAGACAGTCATTAGGGGTGCTTCCAAGCTAAACTGTTATAGATCCAATGACTCTCACTTAGAACATTTGATTAGAGCAGCGTTTGGCCGCCCATGCACACTGGCATCTTAATGCTTCCCTGTGGGGAAACATTGGATTGACTGAGATCAACATGATGATCTCAGCCAAAGAGACAGAGCAGCAGTGAGGAGTTGCTTGTGAAGAGATATATGGAAGACTTACCCTTTAAACTCCACCAACAGGGGGGTGGGGTATGGGAGGGGGAGTGGACATCTAGATGGGTTGGTGAACAATACAGCAGGTTTGTGTTTCTAATACTAGTGTTCCTTGAACCAACCCGGAAGAAGAACCACAGGCTCACTAATGTAATGCTGTGCAAATTTCATGCACAGAAGGTAATTTGTTGGATGAGTGTGATCAGCTGACACCCTCAGCCAATGAATGACAGTCGAGACCGTATCAGACTCTAGCAGCTCTGCAGAAATCAGATGCATGTCACCTCGCTCAGAGGAGGCTCTGCACTTGTGAAGGGTCCAGGAAAGAGGGAAAAAACACTGCAAAACGGTTTGCCCCATATCCAGGAAAAAGCACCAACAGGAACTAGTCATGATGATGCTTGGAGTAACCCTTTAAAGAAATAAATCAAAGTATAGATCACTGACCGCCAACAATTGCTTATAACACTAGAAGCAAAAGCACTGCAATGAATAAACCATTGTGTTATCTTGGGTTTTTAAATCCAATTATACATTTGCAAATATATTTTGCTCTCAAAGGAACTCGTATGCAACAAATTGCATACTGTTGTGATCTTCAAATAAGCCAATTATGATCAAATTAGTTATGCGCAAGAATAGCTTAAAAATACCATTTAAAAATTTGTATTTATTTTTTTAAAATCACCAAGTAAACCTTACCATGCCTGCTAAATCCAACAGTTCCCAATTATATTCATTCCCACACAGAAACAAAATCTAAAGATATTCTTTTTACCAAGTTAATTTGAGTAGAAGCATTGGCAAAAGGAATGGAGTACATTCACTGCAGTAGTAAACTGGAAGTGAAAGCTGTAAGCATTCACTGCAATTAGCAATATCTTTAGGCACCGTAAAAAATAAATAAAACCACTACAGTAATGTTACGGTGTTCAGAGTTTTCCTCTGCTGTTTTGGTCTAAAAATTCTCATTTCTTAACAATTACAAGCCGGTGAAAAGCCCTGCAAGATAACATTGATGATCACCAAGCAGTTCTACTACTACTGACAAATATAAAGAGCCCTAACAATGCAACGGGTATTTTAAAGGGACACTATAGTCACCTGAACAACTTCAGCTTAATGAGGTTGTTCAGGTGAGAACTATAGCTCCCTGCAGCCTCTCTCATGTAAACACTGTATTTTCTGAGAAAATACAGTGTTTACATTGAAAGCTAGGAACACCTCTAGTTGCAGTCACTCAGAGTGAACCAGAGGTACTTCGGAGTTGATGGAGGCATCCACTCAGATCTGCTGTCAGCAGAGCACAGGGCAGCACTGTGCACAGCATCCTGTGATTCAGTATCTCCTCCCTCTGCATGCAGACACTGAACTTTCCTCATAGAGATTCACTGATTCAGGGCTGTGTTTGAATCATGCTGGCTCTGCCCCTGATCTGCCTCTTTGTCAGTCTCAGCCAATCCTATGGGGAAGAACTGTAATTGGATCAGGCTACCACTTCTGATGATGTCAGCAGACTTTTTTTTTTTTTTTTTAAGGCAAACAGCATGCAGAGTTACAGCTTCTGGCTTGAATACAGTAAGATTTTTACTATATTTATGGAGGCATGAGGGGCCCAGGGAGGCTAGATGGTGTTGTTAACACTATAGGGTCAGGAATACAAGTTTGTGTTCCTGACCCTATAGTGATCCTTTAAGCATTACCAAAAACTACAATGACTTGTGGCAAAGAGAACTGAAGGAAAGATAGGATACCAGATGCTGATTTTGCACAGAATTTACATAAGCCTGCCTGGAACTCAGGTAACAGAGGTATTAATTTCTGTACTTGCAGAGTCTAATAGCTTCTCACGGAGAAGCACAGGGCTGACATTCCACAGCAATAGATGTGTGCCCTCAATGCTTCTCAGTAAAGCATCTGACTGAACAGAAATTACCAGCACTGATGACTTCAACAGATGAGAATAAGGCTGTAGTGAGATGGCGGTTGCAGCATTGGAATAAAAAATTACGTTTTACTCTGTGATGTTAAAATAAAAACACAAAACAGGTTGGCCCAGAATGTAAAAATAAATACTGGATCATATTACATTTAAAAAGTATATATTTTAGAGTGTTTTCTTTATTAAATAGGTCAGAAAAAATTTGTTGGATCTGTTGACTGATGTCCAAAAAGCATTTGTACAGAAGATGCTTGCTTATCTTCATTTTTTTGTGTGCCTATTTCACGCACAATTAAAAATTACGAGCTAGAAACAGTGACACCACTTTTCCCCCAGGGGTAGCATATATACTGTACTTGTGTGTGGTTGTGCCATGAGCAATATCGATTTAGCACTGCACTGTTAAGAATATACATTTTAGGTCAAAACAGACAAAATTGAAACATAACTACCTAGCAGTTTTGATTCCATTTTGACTTTTTAGGCCTAAAATGTGAAATTCATTTTTAATTCCAGTAAATTCACACTTAAGTGATTGACCCTTTAGGAGTTGGCATTAGATTCAGTAGAAAATGAGGAGGGCTATTAAATAAATGTTCTTTGGACTTCATGAAAATCAGAACAGATTGGCATCTTTGACAATTATAAAAATAAACAAAAAAATTATATATATATATATATATATATATACACACACACACACACGTTGCTGATGTAAACATTAAGAACCTTTTTTGTTCATAGGTCCACATAGGGAAAAAAAAAAAACTGAAATCCTCAAAGTTCTATCAGAAGAAGCCTTGAGGCGGTCATTATCAGTCCTTAATACTACCCACAAATTGTACAAACTATTTTAATATAAACACTCAGGTAAAAAAAAAAAAAAAAACCCTCTTCAGATTGAACCTGGTAAAACACGGCAGAAGGCAGCCTTTGCAGGGCAATCCCAGCACTTGGCAGAAATATCCTCCCTCAAGAAGGCTGCTACCATTCAGAGAGCAATGGAGGAGAAGACGCACATGCACCAGGCGGATCCAGACAATCTCCAGGAGAAAGCCAGGTCACTTCCCCAAAACTAATAAAGATAACATTCCCTCCCTATCAGACAAACGTACGGGAAGAAGGCCTCAAATGCTTAGCCTTTCCTGTCAGATACAAGATGCCTTCCAGCCAGGCACAGCAGCCCCCTCTCACCCTTCACCCATCCGGCCCGCGGTTCCCTCAGTGATATTTATTATAGAGTGAGACAGACAGACAGTGTGAAAGCAATGGTAAGCGCGGGCCTCCTGTGCTCCCCGGGAATGGCCCGGCCCTGGGTGGGTTCTCCAGCCGGAGGTCAGCGGCGGACAGAGGCCGGAGAGGCTCCAGCACCGCCATCTTTACACTGTGCACACGGCGAACCCCGCTGGTGGCATCGCACCGGGCCCCGGGCACCCAGCCTGGACCCCGGGCACAGCCTCACACACGGCCAGTCACTCGGCTCCCCGCGGCCTCGCTCTCTCACCTCTATCGGGAGCAGCACACGGGCGGCTCCTGGCGCTCAAAACGCCCGCTCCGGGCTGCGCTGGGGGTAAGGCGGGGTTTGCCCTGGCCGGGTTTGTGACGGTCGCCCTGGCTATGCGGCAAGCGGTCTTCTCGTTTCTCCGTGTTCCCACTATCCTGAATAGCTTTTCTTTTCCCTCCTCTGACTTCTTTCTCTCAAGATGCCTCCGACACAAAATGGCGGCGCAGGAGGAAATGAGCCAGGCCCGGCCTCCATGTTAGACACAGACACACCCACTGCCATACAGCGCCGCCCGCCTGACAGAGAGCAGCTACTCTGCGGGGGAGCAGGGGACCGTGAGGTGCTACTCGGCACACCAAGAATAATGATTGTGTATTATTAGGATTGTCATTTATAAAGCGCCAATAGATAAAGTAGCGCTGTACAATCAATATATACATATTTATTAAACTTGTTGAGGGATCAAAAACCCCCAATAGAAATAAGTTTATTTTTTTTTACACATGTATACGGTATTCATTAAACTTTGAACCGCAACTAAATTCAATTAGACGAAAGATGATCTAGAAAATATTTGCTGCTAATCTATAGTCACATAGATTTTTTTCAGCCTATATACTTTGTCATTCGGTTTCAATTCGATATGCTTCGTAGTTTAGTGAATAAAATTATTTTACAAAGTAGTACGTTTTAGTTTAAATATTTTCTCCATTGTGTGCAAATAGATTATGATTGTCAAGCAAGTGTTCAACAGGCAGCTCTGATGAATCTTAAAGGGACACTGTAGGCACCCAGACCACTTCAGCTCCTTTTGCACTTAGTGCTGCAATTTTAAGCATTCTAGTTCCAGAGAAACTGCAGTGTTGACATTGCAGCTCTAAGTCTGCCCACCATGGCTGTCTACCATACAGCCACTAGAGGGCTTCCTGAATCGAAACGGACCTTCGGTTCGGTATCTGACGCTGGACGCCCTCTCGCTCTGCATGAGTATTTCCAGCGTCAAATTTTTCTCCATAGGAAAACATTGATTCAATACTTTCCTACGGGGAGGTCTAATGAGTGCCGCATTTGGTGTGCATAAGCATTACCACCCACTTACATAGTTACATAGCTTAAAAGAGACTTGCGTCCATCAAGGTCAGCCTTCCTCACATTTGTTGCGGGATGTCGCCAAAGGACATCGGCGCTGGGAAAACTAAAGTAAATAAAGGGTTTTTTACCCTTTATTTACCTGGGTGGTGGGCCTCCAGGGAGGGGGTATGCAGAGGGAACTATAGTGCCAGGGATACAGCTTTGTATTCTTGACACTTATAGTATCCATTGAACTTGTTTCAAACCCAGTGTCAGGACGTACAGGACATAATTGCCTTATATCTCTAATTTACAACTTTGTATTCCTTACACTATAGAATGCCTTTAAAGAGACACTCTAGTCAGCAAAACAACTTTCACTTAATGAAGCAGTTTTGGTGTATCATGCCTCTGAAGTTTCAATGCCCGGTTCTCTGTCATCTGGGAGTTAAATCACGTGTGTTTCTGTTTATGCAGCCCTAGCCACACCTCACCTGCCTGATGCAAGAACACACAATGGTTTAATTTTCAATCAGATGTTACTTTTTATCTCCTGCTCTGTAAATTGAATTTTAATTACATATAGGAGGCTCCTGCAGGGCCTGGCAAGATACAAAATTCTAAATTAAACAGACTTAACAGTCTAAACATAAGATGACTCTTACAGGAAGTGTTTAAGAAGGCTGTGTAAGCAGGCCCGGACTAGCCACCGGGCAAATGCGGGATCTCCCCGGCCAGTCAACGCAGAGCCGGCGCTATCCGAGTGCCGGCCCTGCTGTGTTCCATGACGGGCCGCCGGCCATGGCAACGGTCCGGGTCTCACGAGAATGAACTCTAGCCCCACAGGTTAGAGTTCACTCACCACTAGGACCACCAGGGATGGATGGATGGCAGCAGCACGATCCCCCCTCCTAGGCTACAGGTAAGAAGGGAGGGGGTATAATGCCTGCTTTTAAATTTTTTTTTTATTATTTATTTATTATAATATATATATATATATATATATAAAAATACATACATCTTGGCATTTACCTGCTTCCTTACAAACACACACATCACCCTCACACAAACACATCATCCTCACACAGCACCCTAACACACACACACACACACATTACCCTCACACAGCACCCTAATACACAGCAACCTACAACACACACACACACACACACACATTACCCTCACACAGCACCCTAATACACAGCAACCTACAACACACACACATCACCCTCACACAGCACCTTAAAACACACAGCACCCTAACACACACATATCACCCTCACCCAGCACCCTAACACACACACACACACACACACATCACCCTTACACAGCATCCTAACACACACATCACCCTCACACACCACCCTAACACACACAGCACCCTCACACACACACAGAACCCTCACACAGCACCCTTACACACACACACAGCACCCTAACACACAAAGACCCCCTCACTCACACACATCACCCTCGCATAGTACCCTAACACATAGCACCCTAACACACACACATCACCCTCACATAGCATCCTAACACACACAGCACCCCACCACACACACACACAGCACCCTCACAAATGCAGACTACACCCCTCACATACCCACTACACCCTTCACACCTCACACATACACACAGCAGCCCCCAAACACGCTGCACCACTACTCACACACAGACACACAATACTTCCAAACATATATGTATATATACTACAGAACCCCTCACACATAGACTGCACTCCTAAACACATTATATTCCAGACAAACAGTTCCTTACCCAACTCTGGATCATATACAGATATACACACTAGATGTCTATATACACTCTGAATCCTATCTACACACACTCACTAGATCTCCTATACACATTCTGGGTCCTTCAAACACACACTAGATCCCCTACACACAGATGCTGCACCACCTACACACACACTACATTTCTGACACACGCTCTGGATCCCCTATGCATACACTAGATTCCATGTAAGCAAACACATAGTGTCTCCATAAATGGGATACAGTGAGTATCCCAATTATGGAAACCCCTGAGACAAGTTTCAAGCAAACACAACGCAAGCATGTTATTAAATTTGCTTGCACTGTGCAGAACAAATACAGGGCCCCTTTCTCATGCCCTTTGAGGTGGGGCATGTTTGTCATTGGGGATGACAAAACACACCCTATCTGGCCCCGCCCCCTTTTCAGTGGGCCACTGTGAATAAAAACTGCCCAGGCCGAATTCTTTCCCCAGTCCGGCCCTGTGTGGGAGATGTGACTAGGGTTGCATTAAAAAAAGGGATTTAACTCCCTAAGTGACAGAGAATTGAGCAGTGAGACTGCAGAGGCATAATCTATATACCAAAACTACTTCATTATGTTAAAGTGTCCCTTTAAGCTTAACGTGTTTTGGTGACTATAGTTTATCTTTAAAGGGTCGTCATGGTTTGTTTTAAAGGATCACTATAGTGTCAGGAAAACAAACGTGTTTCTGACAATATATAACCCTTAGGTCCCCCCCACACTCAGAGTCTCCCTCCCGCTGGGCTGAAGGGGTTAAAACACCTTCAGCCACTTACCTTTATGCAGGCCGGGCTCCCTCGGCGCTGGTGACCTCTCCTCCCCCGCCGACGTCAGCTCCTGAGTGGAGCGGAATGTGCATGCGCGGCAAGAGCCTTTTCTATGGACGTTCTGCATGCTGAATGCGATTTTCGCATCCAGCGTTGCAGAAGCACCTCTAGCAGCTGTCAGGAAGACAGTCACTAGAGGCTGGATTAACCCTGCAATGTAAACATAGCAGTTTCTCTGAAACTGCTATGTTTACATCAGAAGGGTTAAAACCTGGGGGACCTGGCACCCAGACCACTTCATTGAGCTGAAGTGGTCTGGGTGACTATATTGTCCCTTTAAGTTACAGTTACAGAATATTTTGGAAAATATAAATGTAACTGTCCTTTTGTAAATTAAAATTTGATATTCTGTATCATATGTAAGAGTACAAAAGAGACAAAGCCCTGTGTTTTCCAGCAGGGAGAAGGAATAGGGAAACGTCAAGGGAGAATGGAGTAAGTACATCTCAACCCTTTTTAGGCAAAATATTTGTTTCCCCCTTTCAAAAATATGTTCTGCTACTTGAATTTAGGCTAAGAAATTCAGAAATATTTTGAGGGGAAGAAAATTAACTAAAATATGTTTATATTTCCACATATTTTATATAGTATTATTATTTTAAGAATTTTTTTTTGAGACAATACAAATGCTAGCCTTCTTTTAGAGCCTAAGATAACTATTGAGATGGTTTGAAACTAGAAGAATCCCTTTAAATACATTTTAAAAAAAAATATATATATATTTTTGTCTCTTTAGTTTCCCTTATGTATATCTAGCTTTGACAAAACCCTGAACAAGCGTTGTAATTGCAAGGTGTGTTGTGATTATTCTTTCTATTAGACTGCTAGAGGAGGAGCTCAGCCAGCCTGGCCCGGAACTAGATCTGAACTTGGAGGAGGAGAGAGGACAAGGACACTCACACTCACTCCGAACACCGTGTTTGTGACAGGCAGTATAGGGCTCTCCTCTACCTTGAAAGGTGCTCGGTAGCTCCATTGCTTTGCTGCAGACATGCTTTGTAGAGTCAGCCTGTGCAGCAGGTGAGTCGGGATCAGTTTATAAACACACGAACTTTACATCAGACATTGCAAACTATATTGCTGTATAAACACTACATGCCACAAAATGCTTTACTATCCATGTTCTGCCAACATAATGATTTAAGAGTGTATTAGAATGTCGTATATTGTGTATATTCTCTTTTTTTTTTTTTTTTATTAAATTTTTTTTGAGATTGCCCTCTTTGGTAAAACAGCTAAATACACGCGAAACTGTTACCTACGCGCCCTTCTGTTTCTAGTTTTTAGGTCAATATCTTCTCTTTTTGAAAAAGACGCATATTAGTAATTTCCATTATAAATCAATAATTAACAGGAACAGTCTTCTAGTAGATGCATTCTATTTTTAATGATTTATGAAGCTGTTGTATACAAGAATTGCAGAATAAAGTTAAATTAACATTCCAAGCACCATAACTGTTACAGTGCTTTAAACTATCTTCTGCATTTATGAAAAGTCATCAGTTATGTAATGAACACACAGGCTTTGGGTACAAATCCTGTCATATGTTTGAGTGTAATTTGATAATT